ATGAAAATGTATAAGAGATTTCAACGATCTATTATTTAATCTTTTATTTATCGATAATTTATAGGATTTCGATAAAGAAAATGTAGGGACGGTATCGAAGAATTGTCTGATGCGGGCTTTATCGATTAGACGAATGTTAGATTTGATAAACAGTCGGGAATTTGATGTTCTTTACAAATGTTTTTCCATCGAAAGAACTGGTCATCTAGAATTTGATTATCGTGGATTTTTACGAGCTTTACGTTTGTTAAAAGAAAATAAAACAGCTTTACCATTTTAAATATTATCTGTTTGATATTCGTATATTACAATTTTTATAAGAGTTTTAATAAAGAAGGAAAAAAAAATTCGTAGTATTCGAACGTTATATTATATATGTAAACTATGACATTTTGAAACTATTAAGAAAACCAGAAACTCTATTGTTCGAGTATTTATAAGATAAGGATAGTATCTTCGTTTCGACTTTCTCTGAAACTCGTTTTGCTCGTCTTCTATCAAATGTATTATAAAACTCGTTTAACAAGGCACCATTTTTTGCCACTTCTTTTTTTTTTTTTCTAAATTTATACTAATTCCATTATTGCTCAATAATGTTTACATAAATCTATACAAATAAATGAGATATTCAAAGTAATTTTTTTAATTTCTTCTCAAAGATATAAGAGACCAAAATTTAAGCTTATTATATTCAGTAATATTCTTCTCCTTATCCAAGCAACGTCAATCAGAGGTAATTAGATATGCATATATACATACATATATATATATATATATATAATTATATATATTATATACATATATATAATTACACATTCTATAATATAAAAAATCGTTTCATTTATAAGTTCTTCGAAGTTAGAGAAATTTTATAGAACAAAATATAATACATTTATTATTTATAATTAAGTCTAATTAAATACATAAAATATATACTCTTAAATGAAGATAGTGTCGACATCTAAGTAAAAATAATTTTCTGATTATTAACCGTACGTAGATCATATAGAATTTGATTTTATCCATTGGTATCGTCGATAATGTAGGAACGTCATAATACCAACACGGTACACTTAAATATTATTTTTACCGCTAGATGACAACACCATACTATTTCTATAAAAAAAAGTAAATTATAAAAATTAATATCATATCTATAAAAAAAAAAAAAAAAAAAAAAAAGAGAAAGTAAGGAATAAAAATGAAAAAGATTTGAAAGAAAATTAAAGAACATTATTAATTATCTCTTCATCTCTAATCAACGAACTATCAACGATTTACGCATTAGTATTGAAAATAGCAAATATTGATTGATCATGAAAAATAAATAAAAAGCATCGAAGAGAGAAAAATACAAAGATATTATAAAATATATCTAGCTAGTGATAATAATTATATTTTTAAAAATCTCGGATAGGACGCACTTTGTATTCTTTAGCATGTATTAAACACGTAAAGAATAACTTTCGAGTGATTAGAGAGAAAGTATTGTATTAGGATGCACCAAACGAATGCTCTAAAATTCTAATTTCCTATCAGCTTTATATACCTTTTTCTATATCTATAGAGAATCTGAATCTCAAAAAACTGTGCCGGAATATAATTTTTTTATTTTTTTTTTTATATTTAAATTAGAACAAAAAATATTCAAGGAAAATAGATGCACGATTCAAGATTGATTACGTATTCACGAGTATATCTTTCAAACAGAATTTGATGAAAGATCGGCATCAATTGAAAAATAATTGACAATTGATAATATCGATGTTATGAATAATAGAAAAGAGTTATAATAAATAGAAAAAAAAAAATACAAAAAAAAAAAAAAAAAAGAAAAAAAGAGAAAAAACAAACAAAAAATGAAGAAGTTCGTGGCTCGTTATCCTTGAAAGAAAAGCTGATAGGAGGCCCAGGAGAGTGTAAGAAGATACGTCTCAACGAAAGCTTGGTAAGCCTGAAGTACGTCTTGTAAGTTCAGAGGTCGTACGAAGGAGAGGAAGGGGGAGGGGGTAATTAAGTGGTAAGCCTAAGAGAGAAAAAGACGAACCCTTGAGCTCGTGTAAAAGATGCAAACCGAAGAGACATGGAGGTCATGCCTCCTGACCTAATTTTATATTCATCGATGTTCGTATTAAAAGACAATCGTTTAAAAGACAAATCTTTAAATCAATTATGATAGTTTTGTCATTGAAAACAATTCTATTAATTCTTAAGTTCTTTGAACAATTGTTTGTTTAAAGAATCAATATTTACTGGTTTTTACATTTACTTATCATATCAGAGATAAAATGTAATTGTTATTGATATCGACAAAGGATAGCATTGTAATTGTGATAAAAAATTATACTTATATCTTTTATCATTACCTTGTCATATACCTTAAAATATCTTTGATTATAAGACTCAATAAACTATATAAACCGCATTTCTCTAGAAATATACAATTTCATTGTATTTTATCATAAGGTAAGTCTTTCACTATTACATTATAGAGATCATTATTATTTTAAATATTTGATTTTAATTATTATTATTATTTATTAATATTTATTTCCTTTTATCTTCTTTTTTTTCTTTTTTTTTTTTTTTTAGATATATAAGAAAAAACTGAAAGATGAGAAATTTATTTGTTCTTCAATGCGTCTTATTATTCGCCATAGCGATCTACGCTGGTCCACCATTAGGAATACCTGAGGAAGATCTAACGAAACAATGTCAGACTCCTTTATGTCCAGTAAATAGAAACTCTGAAATTATAAATCTGCCTTATCCTTTGGATTGTCTCCTTTACATTTCTTGCGGAGAAAAAGAAACTATTGAGACATGTCCAGATAATTTAGTCTTCAACAAGGTAAATAATAGATCTTAAATTTTATCAAATAATATAAGCACTTTTTCTTCATTATAGAATATATAATATTATTCTTTAGTTACATGTTAATAATTAATTTTTATCAACACAATCTCTCTCTCTCTCTCTCTTTCTCTTTTTCATTAGAAGTTATAATCCTTATAATCTATCGTAATAACGTTTTCGTTTCGTAAATATTATATATATCATAAAAAAAGAAAAGAATTAATTGTCCCTATTGAAAGCAAGAACGTTACGCGTGGCATGACGACATCTCTTTGAGCGCAAAGAGTCACGACCTCGACTTACCCTTGAAAACTCCCTTTGGAACTCGCTTTCACTCGTATCCAGTTACGGTCCTCCCGTGTGTGCACGTGTCTATTGTGAGACCCGGTGCTTCACCTGACACGTGCCAATTTTCAATTCACCGGTACCATGCAATGCGTAACTGCTTGACTTCTTGACATGACTGTTCATCAGGGTCGTATAACCCTTAGATCGATGCAATCGATAGCGTGAACTTGTTGAAAGAACATAAATGTGTGAATGATCGTATCTTATCGTTAACAATGTTTTTTTTTCTCTCTTTTTTTCTCCTTTTTTTTTTCTCTCTCTCTCTCTCTCTCTCTCTCTTCGTACGTTATCAAAAAATATTTTTAAGAATCTTATCATACCTGTTCCCATTGATTTTCTTTTTTTATTTTTAACAGAACACTGGAGTCTGTGACACGCCTGCGAATGCCCGATGTGTACCATGCTGGCAAGAAACATCGCCATAAATAATTCAGAATCATTATTAAAGATCGATTATATTAAAAATCAATTATATAAAATAATGTTACAATTTCTAAGCGAATCAAATTGAAAGTTAAATAAATCGTTATAAAATTTGAATTGAAGAATACGAATTATTAGAATTTATTTCCACCTTGTTTGACGTACTTCCTTCTCCTTCTCTTCCTCCTCCTTCACCTCCACCATCTACCAATACTTTGGTACTTACATTAGCTCGTTATTTCCGTTTTAATTAATGACAATTTTCGTGCTAATATTCACAAATGTTAGATATGCGTTTGTGAAGCTGAAGATACTCGAAAGAGTTTTTCTCTAAGAACGTTAATCTAATATATCATAAGAAGAATATTGTCAAATGAAAAGGACATACCGTTTTCTAGATTGAATAGAGTGGGTCAAGTGATATCGATCATTTTTTGAAGAGACAGAGTAAGAGAGAGAGAGAGAGAGAGAGAGAGAGAGAGAGAGAGAGAGAGAGAGAGAGAGAGAGAGAGAGAGAGAGAGAGAGACAGACCAAAAACTAACGATTATATGAATTTTGATAGAAATATGTGATTAGTAAATATGATCACTATAATGGTAATTTAAAAAAAAAGGTATTACTTCAAAAATATTATTTTCAAAAAATGATTTTCTCAATTATATCAGTATGAATCTAAATATCTGATAGGAATATTCTCAAGTGACCTATAACAAAACGTAGCTTATAACGCCAACATTATCGTCTGTTAGCCATTAATAGATTTTCCCGTTCGTCCAGCCTTCGATGTTTCTGACGTCAGCATTGTCAATGGTTAGCTATCGATGCATATCCATGGTATCAAGATATTCAAGATTTCATTGAATACTCGAGGAAAAAAAAAGAGAGAAAAAAAACAAAAAGAAATATAATAATCGAATCAAGTTGATTTTGGAGAACACTTGTCAAAACATTTGAGATATATCAAATCGTAAAAAATTAATCAGAGTAGTTAGAAAAATAAAAAAAGAAAGAAGAAAAAGAAGGAAGGAATAAGTATAGGATATAAGATTTAATAAGAGATAAAAATAATAAAGAATAGGTAACATTTGGAAACGTTGATCCTAACTATGAGAAGATCCTTCTAAGGAACTAAGTTTCGTTCATCCGGGCGCAGACTCGTGAATTTTCACTCAGTCCACGCCTCCAGTTGGCTTTGGTGGTAGGGTTAGTGTTGGCTCGTATAAAAGAGTGAGAGAGAAAAATATATATATATATAGAGAGAGAGAGAGAGAGAGATGAGTAGCGCGCGCCTTTCATACCCTCTACCCCCTGGCAAAATGTCTCCGGTAGATGACGTCACAGGAGCGAATCAATATCAGTGGAACCGTCCCTACATCGGTCCTCGACAGGCAGAGAGACACCGACCGTTCAGTACGGAGTGGCCTCCACAACCGACAGGGACGTCGTTTTGCCACCACCGACGACGACGACGACGACGACGACGACGACGACGACGACAACGACGACGACGACGACGACGACGACGGCGACGGCGACAAGAACGAGGGAGGTACATGCGCCTCCCGTCGTCCATTATTTCTCTCTCTCTCTCTCTCTCTCTACCTATCTTTCTTTTTCTCTCTTTCTCTTTTTTTCTCTCTTCCTTTTTGTCTAACATCAAAGTTATATCAAAATCAATAAAGATAAATCGTGACAAGTGTTCGATAAGTATAACTATGACACAGTGTTAAGATTCTTGGTAGCGGAGTATTTACTTAATAGTAGTGATAGTCGGAAGAACGTTCGTCAATAGTGTTGGTAAGTATCATTAAATTAATTTGATCTTTTGTATTTGTAATGTAATATTTGTTGTCAGAATAAATTTCATTAGATTTGTTAGATATTTAATTCTTCTTTGATAAAAGTATCGTGTCTCGTTTAATTCAATATAATCGAAGGATATAATAGATTGGAAATGTTTGAAGAAAGGCAATGGGGGTGATTTTTAGACAAAGTGCCGTTGTACCGATCGATCGTGATCGGTGGCGGTACCAAAGGCAAGTCTCGGAAGGCCGAAGAGAAAGAACGGCAGAGAAGTAGCGGACTTGGTGAATCGAGTAAAAATCGATGGCCATCAGCGCCCATGGGCGGCCTCGCGTTTAGGACAAGGAACAGCCCCTCCCAGAAGACCTCGCTCCGGTGGGGTGACTGCTGCCCCCCAAACCCCAATCCGCCGTCGTCGTCGGCCCTTTGGAAGAACCGCCAACGGGACATGCCGCCGGTACCCGTCTGAGGCTGTCCCCCGTTGCTGCGTGATTGTACTCCACGGGGTCTTCAGAGGTACACTAATTTATATTCCCTCTTCTTTCTTTTATTTTTTCAAACTCCTTGAAAAGAAATATCAAGTTTATGTCAATATACTTGATCAATATCATTTATTCTTCATCATCTGAAAGATATGATTTGTTTATGATAAATCTCAAAAATTCATCATAATTATCTTAACAAATTCAACAATATGTCCCTGAAATAAATATATTATATTCCCTGATTCAGAACATTTTTTTCTTCATCTCCTGATATACATATATATATATATATATATATATATATATATATATATATATGTATATATTATGTATGTATATATATATATATATGATCTATAAATTGTCATGATTAATACAATACAAATTATAATTATCTTAACAATTCAAAGGAATAATATTCATCGATTGAACTTACAAGTATCCTTAACGATCCTCAGGGCCTTGACCTTTTTATCCGTTCTCCAAAGGTCCATCCACTCTCCACATGTGCGAACCTTTCCGACGATGAATATAGCGAGACTAATTGGATCAGAGGGTTAACCCAACGGACCGATTTCGGATTGTCTCGGGGCTAAAACATAATATTTACGGTTAAATACACGCGTTGGATTTAAGTAGGTACATCTAACACGTGGAATGTTTAATTCGATGGAAAGACAAAGCGCTGTATACCGGTGCTGATTTTGAAATCCCTTTTTAGGAACTTCATCCTTAATCGGATTTAACTGTTTAAAACATCAAACGAAATGATTTCAAATTTGTTTCTTTTTTTTTTTTTTTTTCCTTTTACAAACAGTTTCAATGACAAAAAAATTGAACAAATTGGTCATAATAAATTCTATATAAATTTAATGAAAAAACATATAGATCAAACTAAATTTCAAATAAGTTCTTTATCCAATTAGATATCCAAACGTTCCGAAATTGGATCGGTCACCAAATCTCTGGGACCTCCGTTTCCGTCAGCTCGAACACACGCCGCTGGAACCGTACTCCCCGAAGATGATCAACATCGCTGGCCTGATCTCGATCATATTGTTTTACGCGTTGATACTTGGCGTTGGAATATGGGCAGCAAGAAAGAAAGAGTCTGGAAACGATTCCGAGGAGGAGGTCATGTTAGCTGGCCGTTCGATCGGCTTGTTTGTTGGAATTTTTACAATGACAGCAACATGGGTAGGTGGAGGATACATCAACGGTACAGCAGAGGCAATTTACACGAGAGGTCTGGTCTGGTGTCAGGCACCATTTGGATACGCTCTAAGTCTTATTTTTGGTGAGTGAGATTCAATGAGTTTGAACTTGAATTGTTTTACAATTTCTTTACGTTGCTTTAAATATTTATGTATGTATATGTTTTAGAGTAAATTACAAATTCTTTTTACATACTTTCTCTCTCTCTCTCTCTCTCTCTCTCTCTCTGTATTTAAATTTTATTATCAATATTTTGGAATACTTTTTTATCAAAGCGATCCCTAAAGAAAAAAAAAAAAAAAACATTCTATAAGCCACTTTGCTACTGTAAATGATAGCATCATGAATTAATCCTTCTTTGATCGATCAAAGATGAATTGATTTATGACGACAGGTGGCATATTCTTTGCAAACAAGATGCGACAACAGGGGTACATCACGATGCTGGATCCGCTTCAAGATGCATTCGGGGAACGAATGGGTGGTCTTCTATTTCTTCCTGCCCTATGCGGCGAGGTATTCTGGGCAGCTGGGATCCTAGCTGCTTTGGGTGCCACGTTAGCTGTCATCATCGATATGGACCAGGGTGCCTCCGTCATTCTAAGCGCCTGCATCGCAGTTTTTTACACTCTATTCGGCGGCCTCTACTCCGTCGCTTATACCGACGTCATCCAACTTTTCTGCATTTTCATCGGACTGGTAAGTAAATTTCGATAACTACAAAAAATTGATTAGAAAATCAAACGAGAGTTTTCTTTTTTCTTTTTCTTTTCTTTCTTTCTTTCTCTTTTTTTTTTTTTTTTTTTTTTTTTTTTTTTTTTTTTTTTTTTTTTTTTTTTTTTTTTTTTAATTAGAACAGAGTAAAGAAAAATAGTGAACTATCCCTTTTTGAACGGATCGATAACACACAGGCTCGTCGCCCGTACCAAGTATTTGTCAATTCTATGAGTGTAGGTTGCCCAAGTGTAGGTGTTTGCGTAGGTGGTGACCTAGTTATATCAAAAGCTCTAACTCTATTTGACATTTCTCATGCCCAGGATACCTTCCTTTCGATTATCATTTCCAGAGTGTCTTGATGTAGATAAATGTTAAAAAACAATGTTCTTTTTGTTCTCACTTGTTTAATCATAGAAAAGATTTAATCAAGAATTTCGATCAGTCCTATAATTGAAGGACATCAATTCTCGCGTTAAAATTCATTCTATTTTTATTTTCATATTATATTCATTAATCAAACTAGGATTATTCTCGAGTTTCTAAACGTTCTTTAAACATAATAAGAATACCAAGAGATAAATAATCATTTGAAAAAAATTGTCTCTATTCAAATGCAAAGAGATTTTCTCCCGTGATCATCCATTAACCATAATTAATCGAGATAAAATCAAATCTCTCTCTCTCTCTCTCTCTCTCTCTCTGTCTTTCTTTCTCCCTCTCTGATAGGTCGTTAGTTACAACATCCTAAAGAGTAGTCTTATCGAAGGGGAGAGAACGGCGTATCCTTTCATTGAGAAATCCTTTCAAGTAGACATATACCATGTCACCTTTGATGCTAAAACATTAAGATGAATATCATGAATGGAAAACTGTATTTTAAATAAAATCAAAAAAAAAAAAAAGAAAGAAAAGAAAGAAAGAAAGAAAGAAAGAAAAAAGAAAAAGAAAAAACGAAAAATATTATTTTCATGTTAAAGTGGATGTGCATCCCGTTTGCCTGGGCCAATCCAAAGGTAGAGTCACTTAGTTCCATGGAGGTCGACTGGATCGGCGAGGTCAAACCCGAGGAGTATTTTTATTACGTAGATTACGGGTTATTATTGATATTTGGTGGCATACCTTGGCAAGTTTATTTCCAGAGAGTACTTTCATCAAAAACAGCAGGAAGAGCTCAACTTTTGAGTTACGTTGCAGCTGTGGGATGCATACTCATGGCTATTCCTCCTGTTCTCATTGGAGCAATCGCCAAAGCAACACGTGAGTATAAACATTTTTACAAATTTCTATATTATATATTCCAAAACTAATTCGATCTTTATATCGATGATATCGAAATCAATATCATTTAAAAAATATACAGACAAACATAATTAAAATACAACAATAACAACGAATGTTGTCTCTCTCTCTCTCTCTTACTCTCTCTCTCTTTTTCTACCTTATTTCGAGTATCATTAGATGTTAGGGAGAAGTATAACATTTTGAAGAATCCACCCTCTCTATCTAAAGGGGATCGAATTAGATCTGGTATACTCATCATCCAAAGTTCGAAGCCTACTTGACATTTGCTACCACAGCATCCAGCACTGCTGGTATTTATAAGGTTCGCCGAGAAAAGAGGGGATGAGAATAGGGTGACTAGACTAGGGGTGAGTTTGGAGTATTTGAAACGTGTACAATACCGTGGGACTTCGTCATGTGTTATCTCTCTCTCTCTCTCTCTCTCTCTCTCTCTCTCTCTCTCTCTCTCTCTCTCTTTTATTCTATCTTATGAAAAGGCGAGGGTGGTAATGCGACTCGACCACTAACGTGAAACACGACAACGTGCTGGAACTAATTCGACACCCTGTATATTGTTATCTGAGACTCCATTACAATCTAAAAACGAGAATAGCTACTGAAGAACTACTGACAATTTGTTATTATTGATTACTGTTTTCAACAATAAATTACATTGTCTATCATATTTCTAATGTCCATTTTTAAGTCTAAATATAGATAATTATATTTGAAAAATAGGTAGCCATTTAATCTTTCTTGCCAATTAAATAAATTCTTAATTTTTGTTAAACCTTATGTTTTTTCAAGGCTACGTTTATGTCCAATGCAATGTATGAGAAGAATTTTATACGTCAGATGTTAAATTTCGCT